GCTGTGTTTCTATGGCACAATAATTCCCTCCTCAAACAACAACACGCAATGTCAATTTAGAAGCCCCGAGCAGCAGCCGAGGCGAAGCAGCAGTCCAGGGCAGGGGCGGGGGAGGGGCTGAGCTTGGACAGCCTCGGAGGCAGCTGCTAGCTCCGAGAGAGAGAGGAAGAGAGAGGGGGGAGGGAGGGGCTGCTCAAAGCAACAGAAGAAGAAAAAATCCGCGGTCTCCACATGGAGTAAGTCTTCTCCTCCCTCAGCCTTTGGCAACAGCTCCCAGGGACACGCGGGCAGGAATGCGCTCATCTCGAAGAAGAATATACGCTCCCAGTTGCTAGGAGAGCCTCGGCGGCTGGAGGCTTTTTTGTAACTTTAAAAAAAATAGGGACTTTAAAAAAAAAACCCGGGACGCGGGACAAATTATGAAAAAGCATGACTATCCCGCCAAAAGCGGGACGTCTGGTCCCCTTAGTGTAAACCTCAAAGAGAGGGACCCTATTGTACAATTCTGGGCCCGTCTGCTTAAGAAATAAGGCCATAGTTTTGCAGAACTTTTACTCCAAGGGAAGGACACATAGGATCCAGGAGTGGCTTGCTGCCAGCATTACTGCCGGTTTGGCGTGCGCACATGCGCTATTTGCACCTAAAAAGATCTGTGCATGCGCATGTTAGAAAAGGGGGGGAAATTACATTTTTGCAATGAAGATTGTTCTGCGCATGTGCAGACCGGGAAATCAAGATGGCGCCAAGGACGATAGAACTGGTTCGGGGGCATGGCAGGCCGAGTTATTACCTACTCGGCCGAACTGGTCCGAACGGTTAGGAACCCACCTCTGATAGGACCCCACTCTAATTTATGTGTGTTACTCAGGAGAAACTCTGACAGCATTGAAAGATATCTATGCCTCAGAGGATGGAATCGCATTGAATAACAGAATAACTGAGTTGGAAGGAACCTTGGAGGTCTGGACTAACCCCCTGCTCAAGCAGGAGACCCTATACCCATGATGGCGAGCCTAGGGCATGCATGTCACAGGTGGCATGCAGAGCCCAGCTCCACCGCGCGTGCCCGCATGCTTCCCACCAGCCAGCTGGTCTTCAGGTCTTTGCCACACATGTGCGGGGGGCAAGACCTTCCCCGATCTCCACAGGTTCCCCCCCACCCCATCAGTGTGCTCTGCCTTTCGACTCCCATTTTAACCTAGAAGCCAAAATGAGGCATGAGGGCACCACATGAGCCCCCCTCCCCAAACCCTATTTGCATTTTGGGGATTGAAGCAAGTACAGTGATGAAATTCAATTTTTTTTTACTACCGGTTCTGTGGCTTGGTGGGTGTGGCAAGGGAAGGATACTGCAAAATCTGCATTCCCTCCCCACTCCTGAGGGGAAAGATATCACAAAATCCCCACTCCCACCCCACCCCACTCTGGGGCCAGCCACAGATGGTATTTGCTGGTTATCCGAACTACTCAAAATGTGCGCTACCGGTTATCCAGAACCTCTTAGAACCTGCTGGATTTCACCCTGAGCACACACATGTGCATTTATGTACATGCATGCTTTAGGCACTCAGGACCAAAAAGGTTAACCATCCCTGGTTAACCTTTTCATTCCCTTTTTAGACAAGTGGCTGTCCAATCTTTTCTTAAAAGCCTCCATTGATGAAGCACCCACAACTTCCGAAGGCAAGTCCTTCCACTGATTCATTACATTCACTGCAGTGGTGAGTTTCAAAATTTTTTAGAACCTCTTCTGTAGGTGTGGCCTGCTTTGCAGGAGTGGCTTGCCAGCCATGTGACTGGGTGGGCGTGNAGAACTGGCTGACCACCCCCGCTCCCCTCCCCCCAGGAGTCTACACACAGCCTGTTCATCATGCCAGATAAGTGTACGGCCCACGCAGCGGCTCTGAGAGGGCGAAAAACGGGCCTATCGGAAATACCGGAAATGGGTTTATTTCTGGCCTCTGGAGGGCCTCTGGAAGCCAGGGGAGGCCGTTTTCACCCTCCCGGAGGCTCGAAAAAAGCCTCTGGAGATTGGGGAGGGTAACAACACTCCGCCTGCTGCTGTGGTTCAGGAAGCCGACTAGGCCACGCCCCCATGCCCGCGGCCCCCCAACAACCGGGCAGAGAAACGGTTGTTAAAATTTTTCAATCCCACCCCTGCAGGCAACATGCTGTACCTACAAAGAAAACAACAGCGAATTTCAACATCTCTTCAACCAGAAGATGTTTGATATAAAAGCAAGAACTGGTGAATTAAATCCCTGTCTAAAAGGAGGGCTGAAATATAACTGTTCGGGAGCATTCTCAAGGCTCCCGATTTCCAATGCAGAAATTTATATTCCTCATTTTTCTAATATGGCTTCTGATAGTATTAAGAGTTTACGATAAGATGGAAATCTATGGATCCAATCCCTAAATCTTTGACTCAATTTATTTACAGTGGGAAACCTGCTTCTTGACCTATCAATAAATAACAGGATGATGTGTGCCTTCTTCCCTTTCTTCTTGTAGGCGTCATCATAGGTTAACCAAGAGACTATGGTTTAAAGATGGTTTAAAAACAAAATAGCAAATGGACTCTGGGTGGGGCTCTTCATCCATCCAATCTCTGGTGCAGACATCGTTTTAAAATGAGGATTCTTTTCTTTCTGTTCCAAGCTCAGCTGAAGAGGACAAAATGAGCTTGCCAACAAATTCCGGCCTGCGGGACTCATGACAGAATCGGGCCACTGTGCATTGACTTTAGGAAGGGAAGGACAAGATGCAAATGTATTAAGTGTTGTTTTCACAGAGACATTTACATTAAACGACGTTAACAAAAATGGGAGGCACAGGACGATATACTTAGTTAAGGGATGGAGAAAGGAGTTGCCGAGAAGATAAAGTTACTAAACCACTAGCTTAGCAATGTTATATATATATATTGCGTTAGTCGCTATTATTATAGTTGTTATTATAGATGCTAATGAGAAGGAAGGACTCCCTGGAGAAGAGCCTAATGCCGGGGACGATGGAGGGCAAAAGAGGAAGGGGACGGCAGAGAAGGAGGTGGCTAGATGGAGTCCCCGAAGCAGTCGGCGTTGAGTTTAAACGGACTCCAGGGGATAGTAGAGGACAGAAAGGCCTGGAGGAACGTTGTCCATGGGGTCGCGATGGGTCAGGCCCGACTTTGCAACTAACAACAACAACATTATAGTTGCTTCATTCCCCACCGTTTTGCGACACGTATTTTAAGTATCTCTCAATCTGTGTAATTATATATGTCGGAAGGAACACATTAATTTAAGCTCCTTGACTGCATTGCCAATAAATATGTATGTTCCCCCACCCCAACTCCCCTTCTTATTTGTTAGACTGAGCTAGGCTGACCTTGCCACTTCAAAACCATCTGTTTTGGGAGACAAAGCTTAGAATTGCTATTTGGAGGCCGAAGGACTGCACTATCTGCTGTAACATTCTGCCCTCCAGTGGCCTCTGCCTTGCTTGTCGAAGTTACCATTTCAGCACTGTGGGCAACGGACAGCTCCTTTTTGCAGGGGCAGCTCTGGATGATGTCACACTGCACAGCTGCGTTGGATTTTTCTACTGGGTCGGCACACGCCTCGGTTTGAGAGGAAGCCTCGCGCTTCCCCTTATCGTTCACGCCCGACATCGGCAGTCCAGCTCTGCGCAACGTATCCTTTCTTGGAGTTGTGGCGAGTTTCTGCTGGGGTTGAATATTGGTTTGATTCCAGTGCCTGCCGTGGAATTGGCGAACGTCCTCTGGTCCTGAGCAGGGATCGCGGGAAGTCCTTGAAAAGGAGCCTTGGGAATCCGATGACGCTCCTTCATCGCGCTCCTCTGGTTTAGACTGTTGAAATAAATTGGAGTCAGTGTAATTCTTTTGACAGTGGCCGATAAATGACTCTGGTTTTTAAGGGGTCCTTTTTATTGTTCGTATGACCCTTTCAAATATATATAAATGATAAAATTATGGAGGAGAACTGTATAATGGAAGAGAAATGATAATGGAATGGAAAGGAGCCGATTCCAGCTTCAAAGCACAGCCAATAGTTTTGTTTTCCACTAATCCATTAAGTTAGCTGGAAGTAATGGCAACGATGCTATTAGCTATTCTATTTTCATGTGTATTATAGAGAGGGATTCTATTGTAGGAAGTTAGCACCCACCACCTCTCCTAGAAAAAATGAGATATTTTAGGAAATATTAAAAGGGCAGAATATTTCCCCTAAAAGGGAGGCAGAAACGCAGCCCCTCTCCCTCCTTTGTCAATGGGCCATTAAGGCCTGGGTTAGTCTATTCTACATAACAAAGATGGACCTCCTTCAAGCAGAGCCATAGTAGGAATTGCTCAAAGCCCTCTACACATCTCACCGCATGGCCCCTGGGAAGATTACATCATCCAGTAAGGCTCAATCAAGTCCGGGACACTGACAACCTACAGTGTTACTCCTGCATGGCCCCTTGGAAGTCTGACAACCAATCAGAATACAAGCTTAAATTCAAAAGACCAGAGAGGGCATAAAACCCGGGCACTCTCAGCATCTCTGCCCTTTTTTTTTTCAAGATCTTCAAGGCATGTGATCCCCATTTTCCCCAGGACCTCAAACCATGTGATCCTGTCCACCATTAAAACCATCTTTCCAAGCAGCCACCATGTTTCCAGTGTCTTTCTCCCCACTTGGAACTGAACCCAGGTTGATGTTTCTTCCAACAATTGCATTAAAATAATTTGCAGGAGGATTCAAAATCTGCAGTGGGCAAGTACTTGAACAGCTTCAAGGAAGCCGTGTCCTTTACCTCGTCAGAGGAAGAGCTGGTATATCTATCTGCTTCCTCTGGAGAATAAGTGGGCGACTGGCTGCTTAACTGGAAATCATCATCTGAAGAACAACAACAAAAGTTTGCTTTGAGGCACTCCAAACAGTAACATAGGGTAGTCCTTGACTCAGAGCCACAATTGAGCCCAAAATGTCCATAGCTAAGCAAGGCATTGTGAAGTAAGCATGCCCCATTCTGCATCCTTTTTACCATGGTGGTTAAGAAATCACTACAGTTGTCAAGTGAATCATGCAGGCATTGAGTGAATCAGGCTTCATCCCATTGACTTTGCTCATCGGAAGCTCCCAAGGAGGGTTGCAAAGGATAATCCCAGACGGTATGGGACAACTCAGCATGGCCAACTCACTGAGGAACAATTTACCAATACTATTTAATTATTTAAAATATATGAAACAATTATTTTAACTTTTGCCATTCATGTTTCATTCTGTCTCTCCTTTTGCACCCTTTCTTTAAGGATTCTATCCCACTATTTCTTTAATATTAATGTAACTCTTGTACTGCAGCCAGTTGTCCTGTGACAAGTTGGACAAGTTGGTGAGTTGGCCCTGGTGAGTTCGCTGTGGTGAGTTGGCCCTGATGAGTTGACCTCAATGAATTGGCCATGGTGAGTTGGCCATAGTGAGTTGGCCTCCATGAATTGGGCGGGATGAATTGGCCATGATGAGTTGGCCATGGTGAGTTGGCCATGGTGAGTCGGCCGTGGTGAGTTGGCCGTGGTGAGTTGGCCGTGGTTAATTGGCCCAGAAGTGTGTGTCATATACTGTAACAACTGGTTCTCCCAGAACATGAAAATGTGAGCATACACGTGGCAGCAAACACATGCCAATTATATGGGACAGGATTACATCAGGACAGGTGGGCAGGCCCAGCCACTGGTTAGAACTACCGGTTCACCTAAACCAGTCTGAACTACCAGCAGCTCACCTCTGCCATGGTGAGTATGCCATAGTGAATTCGCCGCGACGAGTTGGCTGTAGTGAGTTGGCCGTGGCAAACTAGCCAGGGCAAATTGTCATAGGGAATCCAGGCCCCCAGGATGCTGTAACCATTGTACATATATGGTGTTTGCCAAGCACCCAAAGTCTGATCACGTGACTGTGGGGATGCTGCAACTTTCATTAAGTGTGAGAACTGGCAATAGGTCAATTTTTTCAGTGCTGTTTTAACTCTGGTAATTAAACAAATGGTTGTAACTTGAAGTCTAACGGTAATCCTTTTGATAGGTGCAAAATGTAGCTCAGCAACTTATTAGCTAGATTTTTAAAAAATTTCCTCCAGCGGCATACCGATATCTCTGCTGCCAATTTCAATACCCCCTCTTTTCGGGATATCCCTGCATCACAGCCTTGTAGAACCTGCACAGCCAAATTTTGTTTATCCTTGGCCCAGGAAATTAAAGGCACCTCCGTATTTTTGTGCAATACTGAGCTGTAGTATATTTGGAATTAAACTGTTGGAATGATTCAACAATTTAAAAAGGGGGAATTCCCTTTTTTAGAACCACAGCAAAGTGTCAAACAATCATTCTAACAATATAATTCCAGTTCAGTACTGCACAGAAATGGTGGAGTGCCTTGAATGTGGGGATTACGAGGTAATAATACTGTGTATTTATGTGAGTTCTTGGCTCACTTCTACAGCTAGTCGTTACAGAGCACGGATACACAAGGAAATAAACAGCCTATTTCTGACTCTTAAGAAAACAGTGATCAGGCAAAGGAGGTCCCTAGCTCTGTAAGGCCAAGTACGAATAACATAAAATTATGAAATGTTAATAAGAAAACAATGAAGATATTAAATGATCAATCACTGTATGATGCCTTAAGATTGCGGCTAACAACCTTCTTACTCCATGGATCGGAGGCAGCAGCGAGGGAGAAGACAGGGTGTGTGTGTGTTTTGTATGTGCAACCTAATTCCTGCGTGTGTGCAAATAAAGCTTCGTGCGCTCACACGTTGCTTGCGCGGCCCAATTTCCAATGGGCCGCGGTCTGGTAGTGGTCCGCGTGGCCTGGTGGTTGGGGACTCCTGCCTTAAGACAGTGCTTCCCAAACCTTTCCCTTCGTTATCCAAAAATCAGAAAGTTGTTTTTATCCAACGTAGGTAAAATACAGCCCGTGACCCGACAAATGCGCGCATGACAAAAGCGCGCCGACGAAACGGCGGCGACAAAACTGCGACATCATAAACGCACCAACAACAACGTGCTGACAAAACCGCACCCACAAAAGCGTGATTTCAGTTAAGGTAAGGGTTAGGTTCAGGGCTAGGTTTAGGGATTTCAGTTAACGTAAGGGTTAGGTTTAGGGTTAGGTTTAGGGTTAAGGTTAGGTTTAGGGTTAAGGTTAGGTTTAGGGTTAAGGTTAGGTTTATCGTTAGGTTTAGGGTTAGGTTTAGAACTCACGGTTATTACTTGTTTGTTGAAGGCGCGCTTTTGTCGGCGCACTGTTGTCGGTGCGCTTCTGCGCTCATTCGTCAGCGCAATTTAGAACTCACGGTTTTCTCGCCGCGATTTTGTCGGTCGCGCTTTTGTCGAGTGCGCATTTGTCGGTGAACCAATACAGCCATCCCTGTTGTGATTGGGTAATGGGTTCCGATGTCATGACCCCCACCCCCAAAATAACTTTTACCCGATTTTGGCTAAGTCACCCAAGTTTGGAAGGCCGTTCTTTAAGATGACTTAGAAGTACGTTACAGATCCTGTTAGGAGTTTTCTATTCTTAAAAGGGATATTAAAGTCAAAGAGCAGAAGGTCTCTTTTTTTCCTTCACCATTAAATTTAAGACAACTAAGATGGCAAGATGAGAAGATGGCTGTTAATGAATTTCAAATTAAAACTCACCATTTTGCTTGCTTTGCTTCCAATGCTGATCAGAGTCACTGTAAAATTCCTTATCCAGCTTAAAAAAAAAATATTGAAAAATGATATTAGTATAATTTTTGCCCCAGTTGCTTTTATTTAGCTTCTCTTTCAGGTCTTGACATCACGGTATAAATAATTTGCTCACAAATATTCTATTGTTTACAACATAATGTAGAAATAATTCTTTCCTTACACTGTTTCTCGGTAAGTTAGTTCAACTATAGGTAGTCCTCGACTTATGACCACAAATGAGTCCAAAATTTCTATTGCTAAGTGAGACAGTGATTAGGTGATTTTGCACCCATTTTACCACCTTTCTTGGCAAGGTTGTTAAGTGAACCACTGCAGTTGTTAAGTTATTAACATGGTTGTTGTGAATATGGCTTCCCCGTTGACTTTTGCTTGTCGGAAGGTCGCAAAAGGGGATCACATGTCACCAGGACACTGCAACCGTCATAATATGAGTCAGTTGCCAAGTGTCTGGTTTTGATTATGTGACCTTGGGAATGCTCCAATGGTTGTAAGTGTGACATAAACAGTCACTTTTTTTTTAGTGCCGTTGTAACTTTGAACCATCAGTAACTGAACTGTTGTCAATTGATCACTATTTGCATACCCATTGCAAGAAAACTCGATTGCAGAAAATCCGACTTCAGCAACAGAGTGGTAAACCATGTTCTACTCCACTCCGTTGTTACAGCCTCAAACCCTCACAGCTTCAATCTCAAACTGTCTACTGTGGACCTCAGTCAGTGGTGGGATTCAAAATTTTTTTACTACCGGTTCTGTGGGTGTGGCTTGGTGGGCATGGCAAGGGAAGGATACTGCAAAATCTCCATTCCCTCCCTATCAGCTGGGACTCGGGAGGTAGAGAATAGATGGGGCGGGGCCAGCCAGAGGTGGTATTTACCGGTTCTCAGAACTACTCAAAATTTCCACTACCGGTTCTCCAGAACTGGTCAAAACCTGCTGAATACCACCTCTGACCTCACCCCATTCCTAAGAGGTCCTTAAAGGAGGCGCGCATAAGCGCACCAGCATGCCTACCTTCCCTGTCTTACTGT